AGCAGCAGCAGCAGAATTTCAATTATTATAATGACAAAAATGCGTCGATTGTAAAACAAAAACATTGCAATCTGGCGTTAATTTCCGTTGGTTTTTCCAGTTTCCAATCGCAATCGCAATCGCTATTATCTCTTTTCTGGTTGTATTTTTATAAAGAACTCGATTTCCTGCTCGTTGTTTTCAATAACTTTGTTACTTTCAAATGTTCTTCTTAAGTGCATCTTCTAATTGTTACTTGCATTTTATGCGCACACACACACGCACACATTTACATTGTTCATGTGCGCGCTTTTACGACTCTTCTCTGTCTTTTGAATCTGAAACTTAACTAACAAATTTGATATTCTGCGTTTTCACACACACACACACACACACACACACACATCAAATGGCGAATCGCTGTGCTACGATACGCACACAAAAGTATGCTAATATATTTTAGCTACGTTGAAACATGCATAAATATTTTACGCGTGCAACAGTGCGTATACGTTATTTGCTTAACAGGCCGCAAAACCCTGGCGCCAATATCAATTTATGATTTGACGTCAGCGTTGCGTATGGAGAAATTGATGGCATTTGGCTCTAGTCTATCGTAAGTTGAGAGTTGGCTAGTCAAAGTAGAAAATCCCGAAACTAAATGGAATAAAGTCAAACCGAATTTGAAATATGCGTTAAACTATACAAAAGTAGGCGTAAGAAATATATATGCTTGCAATAATTTTAACTAGTTTGTAGTTCTATAAGTTCAAAATTAAACCAACAAATGTTAACAAAACATCTGATAAAAGAACCTAATGATATGCAAAGTAATATTGCGAGCAGAAATTCGAGAGGAATAAATAGTTGAAAATAAATACATTTAACTGACAAAAACACATTGAAAATGTATTTTAATATAATTATTATGCTATTAATATCAATTAAATTGAAGAAGAAAATAACACACAGTTTTTCGAGACGAATGAGTGTTGTTATTGGGAATAGTTAATAATTCCTACTTTAATTCTGCGGAACATATTATTAGTTTTGCAATTCGGATCCTCTACTAACTTGTTGCACCTAGTGGAGCATTTGCCAAGGTACTTTTGAAAAGTATAACAAATCTGCAGAATTGAGCCCAATCTATATGCGCGCATTATTTACTGCATTAGCGATGCGTCGCGTAACTCAGCTTGATGTTCTTCGCTTGGTGCTGGCTTTCAACTGTTTGATGTGTGTTGGATTTGGGGTATGGCAAGCTTTGCTTAAGCTTCACCCACTGCTGCCACTTCATTATCATCATCGGAGTGATGCTGCGGTGACGTCTCTGATGATGCCATGACAGCCCGGGTACATTTCAATTTCAGAACCAATGCTAAAGACAACAAGTACCCGAAATGCGCGTGTATCTAGCACGGAGTGCACGAATTTGCGCGGCAAAGAAAAAAAATAAAATATAAGAAGCAGAAAGCGTCGCATAAATGAATGCTAAAATATATTTGGGCAACGCTGACATTGCTATTACTGTTGTTGTTGTTGTTATTGTTGTTGTTGTTGTTGTTGCTACAACTACTATCAAAGGCTTTGCGAAGAGAGAGGAAAAAAGTACAAATAAAGCAGATGGCGTCGTCAGCAGCGACGGCAACTGCGGCTGCGACGCTGACGTAGCAGCCGCTTTCAACGTTTTTTACATACATACATACTTATACTTATTTGTGTGCATGTGTGTGTGTGTGTATATTACATTAGCTTCTGCAACGGAAATATTTTGGGCTATTGTTTAACTTTTCTCTGCATAAAATAGTATATTTTTTTAATTTAGGGCAAAAATGCACAGCGACAATTTCAAATTGTGTGTATGGTTTTTTTTTTCTTTTGTAGATTTCCGTGCCCAAATTTAATATTGGTTTTTATTGCGTAAAGTTTGCTCATTGTTTAAAACTTGTATTTATTGCCATTGCCAACGCATTTGTGTATTTGAAAAAGTTTTTAACAAAACGCAAACAACGTTTTTCGCCGTGGTTTTTCGCTGCCGGCGGCAACTGCAAACAACAACAACAACAATTGCCACGCTCAATTGAGAGATAAGGAAGAAGCGCAACGGAAATCATATCGGGGTAGTTGAGTATTATATAAAACAAATTTGACTATGCGAAATACACACACTCACACACACACACACAAGCGCTCGCACGCACACGCACACGCACACACATGCACATGGTTAAAAGTTTGTTTTGTGATGTGGCTGCGGATGCCGGTCAAAATTGAACGACGACGCAAATTTCGATTTCCTCGAAATTCTACCTTGTTGTGCCTTCTATTATGGTTATTCTTCGCGTTCTTGTTTCTTCATCATCGCCATTCACATGCTTCATCATGAGCATTAGCCGTCATATACATTTTATACATTTGTTTGCAAAACGACAACAGCAGCAGCAGCAGCAGCAGCGGCAGCGGCAGCGGCGGCGACGGCGACAGCGACAGCGCAGCTTACTAAGCTTTTTCTGAGCATCCACATTCGCATCAGCAACAGCAGCCCACTCTCACTTTGGTTCTGGTCCTCTGCTGATGTTAACGCCAACGCCGACGTCGCACAGTGTTTTTCAGGCAACAAAAAAGGAAAAACTCTACTTTGGCAATGTTTACATAGGATTATTTGCTATCGTAGCTTCCAAGTTAAGCCTAATGATACTAAATACTTCTAGAAAGCTTCATAAATTTTTTTCAATTGAAATTAGAATATACATAAGTTAAATATGAGTTATTCTGATTTTAATTAAATTATAATTCAAAGAGCTGGCACAAATATTTGATAGTCTGCAATTGCAATGCATCAAAAATATTTAATTTATGGACTTGCTATTGCTTTCTCTAAGTTAAAGTTGATGTATTTTACGTTGAATATTTAACGTTCAAGCAAAAATATATGTACATATGTACGTTTGGTTCTATTATTTCTTAATCAATTTGTTACACTGTGCGACGTTGCTGCTGTTTTGCTCCTTGTTTTTGCTACGCTTTCGCTTTGTGTTTGTACGCCGAGCTTTGGCTTTGGCTTTGCCTGCTTGCCTGCCTGCCTGCCTGCTACAACTGCCGCTGTTGCTTTCATGGCCTTGTGTGGCTGTTGCTGTTGCTGTTCTTCTTGTTGTTGTTGTTGTTGTTGTTGTTGTTGTTGTTGTTTTTGTTATTGCCCAGTATGTCACTGTGTGCGTGCGTGTGCTTTTTTGTTCGACAGCAGCCTTTGTGGCCTGGCCGAAGAACTACTACTGTACTTGGCGGCTTTCGCAGCCGCAGCCGCAGCAGCAGCAGCAGCAGCGACAGCGGCACAGAGCACACAGTCGTGTGCTTTATTGCGTTTTATATCCTTTTTTGTTTGGCATCTTTAGCTCGTGCGTTCATCGCTGTTTGTTTGCATGGAATTTCTCATTTTAAAATATTCATTTTAATATTTATGCCTATCGGCCTACCCCTACACAAACACAGCCACACGCACAGGCACATTGATGGCGACGATGACATCGGCACGCACTTGATTTCTTTGTTGTGATGCCTTATTATGTCATAATTTATTTGCAGCAGGACACAAAAATCAACAATGCCGGAATTTGCAGCAGCAGCAGCAGCAGCCAATAATGAATCACATTTCATTTGATTTGCAGCATAAAAACATAAAAACATAGCCCATGTGTCTCTTTTTAACTCTCTTACACTCTATTTCTCTCTCTCTCTCATTCTCTCTATGCGTGTGAGTGTGTGCGTACGCACTGCACCGGCTTTTGTTGCCGCCATCGTCGCTGCCTGCGCCCCCGCTCACTGCTGACGCCATAGCTTTGCTTTGTTACTACCTTTGTTGTGTTTTTTGCATTTCCGCTTTATGTTTGTATTTCGCTGGCTCAGCCTATCAATGCTTTTTTATTTGTAATTTTTGCACACACACACACACACACACACTCTCACGCACGCCTTAGCATTCGGCGACATCAGCGTCGACCGCTGCCGCCGCATAAATCAACAAATTACAATTATTTTCACTGTCGCTCTCGGAATTATTTTGCGCTTTTTGTTGTTATTATTTAGCATTTTTGTTTGTTGCTTTATGGCACTCTGCGCGTGCAATAACAAGAAGATACACACGCACACAGATACGAATATTCGTCAGCGCCAGTCGAAGCGCCGCTTGAATATTTACAACGCTGCACTGAGAATTAAAATGCGAACTCGACTCGCGACATCGCCAGCGAGCAGCAAACACGTCCAAACAGTTTGTACGCCATTCGTGTACTGGGAGCTTTGGTCCGAACTGGCGCTGGCACTAACATGTTCGCACACGGACACACACACACACGCGCATAGAGAGCAGTCATACAGATACTCGTAAGCTTGCGTTTGCCGGCGACGTCGACGTTGACGCCAACTTTTGTTTTTGTTTGCGCTGCAAAAAGAAGAAACAAAATTCAATGGCAGCGTCAAAAGCTCGCCACCATGAATGAAAGTTTGCCATAAGCGAAACGGAAGAAAAACGATGCACAAAATAAACTGACAGAACTTTTAACGTTGCAAGCGTTGTTAGGCCTGGCGTTGCCATCGTATATAAAAAAAATCCAAGAAAACTAGATATTATTATTTTATACGGTTTTGTGCTTAACACAAACCATGGACCTTAAGAAATGTATTATTTAAGAAGAATTAAAGTGGCTAATTAATCAAAATATATCATATGATCTTAAAAAATGTCGCGAAGTGTGCGGGCAACTTATTTTAATTACAGATAAATAAGTGTTTAGGTAAATAACTAGCAACAGCAACAGTTTTGTTTTATTTAGTCTTAATAAGGCGGTCACACCATTCTAAATAATGGAAAGTATCGATATTTCATACGCACTGCTTGAATTTCACAGCACTCACTGCGCTAATGTAGCAGCCAGCTTTTTGCTATGCAAGCTTAAAGCGGTCTTTTTGAAAGAAAAAACCTTCAGGCCGAATTTTATTAACACCAAATATAAGATTTAATGTACTTAGTTTTAAAAAAATTACCATGTGATAAAGTTTTGCTTTATTGGGCGCTCACACTACATAGAATTCATGCACTGATTTTTACATTTGTGTTTATTAATAATTACTTCAATTGTTTGACTGTGGATTGATTTTGAATATGGTGTCAGATTGTTTAATGGTATTTATAGGTAACTAATCCGTCTCCGATCGGGGCGAGCGTGTTGATTGCTTCTTGGACTTTTTATGCTTACGCTTTTTGGCGTCATGGCTGTTGCCGCGACTTTCGCGTCTGACGCGACTGCCCGATGGATCGTCCTGGTCGTGTTCTTCCTCCTGCAGCTTCTTTAGTGTCTCCGCCTTCAGGCGCTCCAGTTCATTCAGCTCGCGAGTGGTGCGTTCCTTCTCAAGTTCATCCTGCCGCTGCTTTTCAGCGCGTCGCTCCTCCTCCTTGGCAATTTCCTTGCGCATATGCTCCTTGAGCAGCAGTGCGGCCTCTACCCGCTTTTGCATTTTCTCGCGAGCTGCTTTATCCTTATCCTCGGATTCCGAGCCAGGCACGGCCGAGGAAACCTTTGGCGGACTTCGTTCCCGCGAGCGACGCTCTTGGGAGCGCTGGCCCCGTCGCGGCCGGCTGGTGCTGCGCGAGCCGCTGTGCCGCCGGCCACGACTACGACTGCGTCTTCGCTCTGGCGATCCATGGCGCTTGCGACTGGGTGAGTCTCGTCTCTTACGGTCCGGTGAATCTCGCCGCTTGCGCTCCGGCGACTCTTGCCGCTTCCTAACGGGTGACTCTTGCCGTTTCCTAACGGGCGACTCTTGTCGCTTCCTAATCGGTGACTCGTGTCGTTTTTTTTCTGGTGACTCTTGCCGCTTTCGAACCGGCGACTCTTGGTGTCTGCGACTTGGCGACTCCTGACGTCTGCGCTCGGGCGATTCCTGGCGGCGCCCACGACTGCGGGAGCGTCGCTGGCGTTCCCTGGACCGGCGGCGCTCCACAGGCGAGCCGCGGGTGCGTATGGGCGAGAGCGGAAAGCGGTTGCGGTATTCGTTGTCCGGAGACCGTTGACGTCGATCTCGATCGGCGAAGGGATTGCGACGATTGCGGTTAAACTGATTCTGACTCATATTGTTGTTAGTATTATTACTATTATTATTATTATTGTTATTATTGCCCTGGCGTCGCGGAGGCGAGCGCTGCTGGCGACGAGCCGGAGAACGTCTGCGTTGAGCGGAACGGGATCGACTCCTGTGCCGATTGCGTGAACTGGAACGTTCTCGACTGCGCTTAGATTTTTCTCGCTCGCGGATTTTGTCTTCTGCGTTCTTGCGTTCATCTCGCTTGTGGCGACTTTCTGCTGGCGGTTCGGCCACCTTTGGGCGTTCATGCTCCTTTGCAGAGGACGCCTTGGACTCGCTGTGCTTTTGAGCTGACTTGCTGAGCTCCGGCTCAGGCTCACTATCCGTCTGCTGTTCGTAATCCAGGGCGTTCATATCAACGGATTTGCGCCGCTTTGGGGGAGCTTCGTCTTTGGGTTTTTCCTTTTCGCGCTCCTTCTCGTGACTTTCCTTTGCCTTGCCGCGTTCTGACTCTTTCTGCGAATGGGATGTGCCCTGCTTGGCATTGCTGCCGCTCGACTGTTTCTGTTTCGAGGGCGACTTCTCGGGCGTCACCTTGCCGCCGTAGGTGCTAGCGTGTGACAGCTCAAAGAAGGACTTTTTAGGATCCTTGGAGGCCTCCTCGTGCCGCTTCTTGCGCTCCTGCTCACGACGCCTCACCTCCTCGTCGCGCATCTTGTTCTCCTCCTCCATGCGCTCCAGATCCGACAGCTTGATGGTGCGCTTCTGCGCATGCTTCCAATGCGGCGGCGTTATGCTCTTCGATCGACTGCGCGATGGCGTGCGAAAGCGCTGTGAATTAAAACAATTTTTATTAACATATTCTATAGACTGGAGGCTACATTTTTTTTGGTGGGATTTATGTGTTGCTTACAAAGACGCCACGCCCCTTGACAATGCGTCCGCTGCGCGAGGTGGGCACCTGTTTTTTTGACCAGCCAAAGGCGTTACGGTTACGCTCTCTGCCTCTGTCGCGATCATCACGCTCCCGCTCCCGCTCCCGATCACGATCACGATCGCGATCGTGCTCGCGTTCACGCTGACGTGCATCACGAGATATTTCACGGCCACCGCGGCCATCCTCACGGGAACGTGATCTTTCGGCGCGCATTAGGAATTTATTCGAAACCTGCATAAAATAGAGATCAGAACAATTTCAGAGGGCAATCTCCCAAAAGGAACTTCGATGCGGTGTCAAAGCAAATCAGTCCGGGAATCCAATTTAATGATATGATATCTTCTTTAGTTATATATCTCGAACTGAATTTATACCTCTGGTATCTCGCTGGGATCAATTTTTGTTAGCGTAACCAACGGATGTATCTCGCCCTCCTCTTCCGAGTAATTCTGGCGTCCATTACCGCGGGCAGCACGTCCCGTGTCGCTGCTGTAGTAGTTAATCATAATGTTTGACTTTGGAAACGCATTTCACTTGGGAATTAACGTACTTTTCACTGCCGCTCGAATTGGACTCCTTGCGCGAACGCTTCTTCTTTAGCTTATCCTTGCGCTGCTTGACCGCAATCTCATCATTGTCGCTAGCCGATTCCTCCGATGCCGTGGAACGCTTTCTGCGTTTCTTCTCCTTTTTTGCTGCTAAACATTGGGGCAAGAAGTTCAGATACATGACTGACTGTTGGATGGAGCTGTGACTCACCCTTTGTTTGCTTGACCAACTCGCCACAGTTGGCTATGGCCGCATCCTGCAATGGGCGCGAATTGCGATCAATGGGCAGATCCTCTAACTGACGCACCAAATCCTGACCCGATAAAACATGACCGAATACAACATGGATACTGCAAGTTGAAAAGCAAGACAAATATTAATGGATAATTGAAACACTTTTCATTAGATGTTTAAATTAATTAATAAAAAAAAACTTACTTGTCCAAGTGTGGCGCAGGCTGTGTTGTACTACAATGAAAAACAGAAGAGAAGAAAAATATTCTTTACACATTGCAAACTTGTTCAGGTTGTTGTTTGGTTGTTGGTAGCGATTTGTTGTAGTTTTCTACTGTTGTTGTTGTTGTTGTTGAGTTGCTGCTGAGCTGTTGTTGCTGTTGCTGCTGTTGTTGTTGTCGTTGTTGTTGGAGAATTGGTGGAGACAATGTTTGTGCAAACAGCAAACTAAAAGGTATCAACTCGAAGTCGACGACAACTCGAAGTGCGACAACTGAGGCCCGTCTGGCTACGGCTACGGGTCATCTCATCTCTTGGGGTCATCTCATCGATTGGGCTGCCGTCCGAGCGCCCGAGTCCGGGTACAGCTGTTAGCCACAAACTCTTTTATTGCGGCTGCGACTGTCAAGGTTGCAGCTGTTGCTGCTGTTGCCAAGGAGAGCCGAGTGAAGGAAGACGGCTTCAGCAATGCCAAGGTGCACCCACTGACAGACACACAAACAGGACACACACACAGACACACGCACACACACACTACGTGCGTACGTATGCAGAGGCCGGCGTTGGGTTGAAGAGAGGGGAGTGAGTCGGTGTCGGTGTCGATGTCGATGTCGGTGGGTGCTCAGTCCGCTGGTCAGAGATATTGCATACACTCGCTATACGGCAATAGATCAATGAACAACAACAGAATTTAAAATATAGATAAACAAAGTACAAAGCAAAATAATTATGTATTCATGAATTCATGTTGTTTGGCTGCAAGAGAAACTTTTACTTTAACTTATACACATGGCTTAAACAGGCAGGATAACATAGCTCAAGCCCAAAACAAGGGCGCCACAACGAGCCCACTTACATAAAGAACTGCGAGCCGTTTGTGTTCTTGCCGCGATTTGCCATCGACAGCAGAAAGGGACGATCGTGCTTCTTGTCGAAACATTCGTCTGTAACAGAGTTTGAAAAGTTAATATTAATATTATTGATAAACTACTAAAAACTAATATTAAATAATTAATGGAATAAAGAGAAATCTAATAATAAAGTATTCCCTTTGTATACCCGCTATAACGGCTTTTTCTTCCAAATAAGCCAAAGGATTGCATTTTTTATAGCTAACAAAGTGGCCGGAAACAGCCAAGTTAGCTATTTATGAAGTCTCAGTAAAGAGTGCTACCAACCCTGTTTATTGACAATTTGTGCACAGTAAGTTAACATTAAATTTAGCTACTTTTTTGAAGCGGCAGTTGGTAACACTGGCTGCAAGACTCAGAATAAGCCTGATGCCCTTGAAGAGTGGTTATTTTAATGGTTATTTTTTGTTGCAGCTACAGATAACTGAAAGCCTGACAGTTGTATGTCATGTTGTGGATAATTTCTACAATCGCATCGTACACCGTTAGATGTAATTATTTGTTAGCACTTTGTATGTATGCATGCATACATACACACACGAGACACATGCATATAAGCAGCACTCACACACACACACACGGACAGGGAGAAAACTTACCCTCGAATGTGCCGCCATAAATTGATTCGCCGCCGGTACCGTTGCCTGCACTAAAATCGCCCGCCTGCACCATAAAGTCCTTGACCACACGATGGAATATGACACCTTTATAGTGTAGTCGTTTGCCGGTGACAAGACCGGTGCCCTTTTCGCCCGTACACAGAGCTCGAAAATTTTCAACCGTTTTGGGCGCAACATCGCTAAACAGCTCGAACACGATGCGACCGACACTCAAGCCGCCGAGCGTTATATCAAAAAAACAACGCGGTCGCGTTGCACTCGCGTCCCGCTTATTAACCGTCATATTTTCAACTAAATGCAATCGATTTGTGTATATTTATTGATAAGTTTTCACGTTGCACAACTTTTTCTTTTGCTTTTTTCTCTCTTCTGTGATGAACCCTGCGCTTGCAAACTATCAGGGCTGCCAAACAATATACAGAAATATTTATCAGCCAGGGCTGCAATCGGTGTTTATGTGATGCGCGACACAGTTCTTACAGTTCCTAGTTCGTCGTGCCTGAACAACTAGTTCCAAGCATTTGGAAACTTTATAAAGCAGATGTTTATATTTATATACATATTTCTTCTTATCAGGAGCTAACTGCCAGTTTATCTGCAGCTATTCCGAACAGCAAATAAATCTTCATTAATTTATGGATACACAAATATTTATATATTATATATATTTCAATTGCACAGACACAAATAAATATTTTGTTTTTACAGCACAAAATTACGAACAAAGATCTAAAAAATGCAATTGTGCTCGTTATAGATATAGATATATATATATATAATTGTTCAGCTTAGACTAAATATATATGTTTTAACGCTCCGGCAAAGAGTCCGTCCTAAGCGGTCAATAAAATGGAATTGTTTTCGTTCGGGATTCGTGTGGGATTTGTCCCGTCTACTCGACGGTCACCGACTTGGCCAGGTTGCGTGGACAATCGACATCGCAGCCGCGCAGCACGGCAATGTGGTAGGAGAGCAGCTGCATGGGTATGACGGTGAGGATGCCCTGCAGGCAGTCCACGGTGCGTGGTATTTGGAGGGAGCGCGTCGAGAAGGCCATGGTCTCGGTGTCGCCTTCCTCGCAAATGATGATGGGTCGTCCCTTGCGCGATGTCACCTGCTGCAGTGCGTTCATGCACTTGTTGTATACCGGATCGCGCAGCACTATCATCAGCACGGGCATCTCATCATCCACGAGCGCCAGCGGGCCATGCTTCAGCTCGCCAGCCAATATGCCCTCGCTGTGCATGTAGGTCAGCTCCTTGACCTTCAGTGCGCCCTCCAGGCAGGTGGCAAAGTTGAAGCCGCGCCCCATGATCAGCAGCGACTTGTGCAAGTACAGCTCCTTGGCCAGCAGCTGCACCTGCGAGTTCAGCTGCAGTACGGTGCGTATATGCTTGTCCAGCTGCGAGAGGCCGGCGATGATCTCCAGCCGGCGCTGCTGCAGCGACAACCGATCCTCGGACATGACCAGGGCGAACATCACCAGCGAAATGAACTGTGAGGTGTACGCTTTGGTGGAGGCCACGCCTATCTCCGGGCCCGCATTGATGTGCACGCCGCAGTGCGACTCCCGACAGATGCTGCTGCCCACCGTATTGGTGATGCCCACGATCAGTGCACCGCGCTGCTTGCAGTAACGCAGCGCCATCAGTGTGTCCGCCGTCTCGCCCGATTGCGAGATGAAGAAGCAGACATCATCCCGGTAAATGGGCGTGTTGCGATCAAGGAAATCGGATGCCAGCTCCACCATGACGGGCAGTTCCGTAAGCTCCTCCAGCAGCTGGCGTGTGGCCACTGCGCTGTGGTAGGAGGTGCCACAGGCTATGAGCATGAGGCGCCTGCAGCGCTTGATCTCTGGTATGTACTCCTTGATGCCGCCCAGGACCACGGTTTGCGTATCGAAGCGAACGCGTCCGCGCATGGTGTTGACCACCGATTCGGGCTGCTCAAAGATCTCCTTGAGCATAAAGTAGTCGTAGTTGCCCTTCATAATCTGCTGTATTTCCATTTTAAGCGTGATTATCTCGCGTGCGTGCGGATCATCCGATGATTTATTGAGGCGATGTATGCTGAGAGTTCCATCCCGCTTGACGGCAGCCACATCGTCGTCCTCCAAATAGATGACGCGATTGGTGTGCTCAATGACAGCCGAGGCGTCCGAGGCAAAGAAATACTCGACCTCCTTGTGCTCCAGCGGCTGGAACTCGGCGCTGACATCCACGTTGAGCGTGCGACCGCTGGGCAGCAGCTGGAACTGCGTCTGGCCGTGCGGACGATGCGCCTTGGTGTACAGTATGGGCACATGGTCTGTGGCCAGCTTTGTCTTCGCCTTGATGCCCACCAGCAGCGGGGAGCCGCGTCGCGAGGCCACGCATTCGCCGGGAAAATGCTTGGACTTCAGGGCAATGGCAAAGGCGCCCTCGATTTGCTGTATGGCCTGCTCGACGAGCTCGCCAAACGTGTAGCCGGGATGCGACTGCCACAGATGATGCACCAGCTTGGCAATCACCTCAGTGTCCGTATCCGATTCAAAGACATAGCCGCGCTTCTCCAGCAGCGTCTTCACGTCCTTGTAGTTCGTTATGATGCCATTGTGCACCACCACAAAGCTGTTCTCCACATCCGAGCGCTGCGGATGCGAATTCAACTCGGAGGGCACGCCGTGCGTGGCCCAGCGCGTGTGCGCAATGCCAATGTGTATGTCCACGGGCTGATCATAGCCCGCGCCCTGGCACTGCTCCGCAATGGCATCCTCGAGCACTTTGACTTTGCCAGTGCGCTTCACCAGAAGAATATCGTTGGTATCGTTGGGCGAATCGATCGCCAGGCCCGTGGAATCATAGCCGCGATACTCGAGACGCTTCAGTCCCTGCACCAGCAGCTCCAGCACCTGCTGACGCGACTTTGGCGTCAGATAGTTTAGATAAGCGAAGATTCCGCACATTGCTTGGATGATTGAATTGGTTCTACTTGTTGCTTAATGTTTGGGCCACGTCTACGTCGCTCTGCTTCTTAATATAAACTGCGTCGACAATGCGATTTCGTGGAATTTTTTCTTTGAATGATAAATTGTCGGCCGCACACACACCCGCATACACATATGGACACACACACAAACACACACACACACCCGCAACCGTAATCAAGCGGCAGCAGCTGACGTGCGCAATGTAAACAAAAAGCGTTGCATTCGCTGGCTGTTGTTGGTTTTGCCATGGGGCGTAGAAGTGAACGCTAATTAATACTAACAGCTTTTATGGAGTGGCTTACGCAGTTCTCGCACCTGTCCAATATTAAAGACAACGCGAAAAAAACTGTATTTAATTTGATTTTAAAAACAACGCTAAAGAACAGCGGCCATTTGCAGCGTTGCCATCTGTTCAGTAAAATGCATTGCCTGTGAATGACAAGCAGCTTATCGATATGTTTTGCACGAGCACGATATTAACAACAACCCTGCTCTTTTCCTTTTCGACCGCGACGGGTAAAAAACCACATGTCTTGCTCGGTATCCGAGAATTTGTAAAATTATGCTGCATAGTGCTGTTAAAACATAAACAAGTGCTTCGTGTCAAATAGTAACTGAATAATATTGCAATTTGTGACAATCTGTGTGTAATAATTCCATTCGAGCCAATTCGTAACCAACAAAAAACGTTCTAACTACCAACCCACCAGCGCGTGAGTGAGCGAGCGAGAGCGATTGATTACGAGTGCGAAGAGTACGGAAACCGCAAAGCAAAGCATACGAAATAAAAACAACAACAACAACAACAGCAGCAAAGCATACGTGAAACGTTAGCAAAGCAACGAGCAAAGCAAAAAGTCGAATTGTGTATTAAATTTTGTTGTTGCTACCGTGTTGTTTTCGTCTACCTGCCGTCACGATACACGTACACACATATTGTGATTTAAGTTCTAGGTGCGTATTTTTTGTTTATTAAAAAAAAATATATATATCAATACATTTGTGTGAGTGGGCGTGCTGATAAATGTGTCCATTTGAAATTTGAGATTGGAGAATATAGTGCAGCAGTCGTTGGCAAGCTGCATAAACAGCTGTTCCCTTTCCAGGGATGCAATAAATGCAATCGTTGTTGTTGCATAACCATGGCTGCGGCTTCTGCTATGTTGCCTTTGGCAATTCTTTCTTAACAAAATATGTTTACAGTTTTTGCAATTCATTAAGCTTTTTTTTGTGTACCTTATTTTGCTGTTGTATTTGGTATTGCGTCGTATTCAAAATTATGTTGCTAGTCGCATAGCTGGACATTTTTAAACAAGTTGGCAGCACCGCAACTAAGCGCTTGTTGCTTTTTGCGCTGCTGCTTCGTACTAGTGTGGGGGGCATTCGCGACTGTGACTGCTGCTTCGCCGCGCCTTAACCTCACTTGTAACACTGTGTGGCTGCATAATATTATACTTCAGTTGCGTTTTGCTATCAATTTAATGTGCCTCATTAGCAGCGTATAATGCACCATTTCTGAGGCGAAAAACAGCGCAAAGTGACGACGTCGAAAATAGCGCAGTTAATCCATTTCTAAAGAAGCTTGAAAATTACAAAATTCAAGCTGTGATTTTGTATGTGTTTGTGTTGCAGCAGCAGCCGCAGCAGCAGCAGCAGCAGCCAGCATCAGGCGTGGCGTGGCGCGGGCAGGGGGGTTATGGCCCATTGCTAGTGCAAACGTAAGCCGCATGCAGGTGATTTCCTCTTGAAGTTTTTTTCTTACTCTCTGCTTCGCTCTTGTAAAGGTCGATGTGCAAATATGTGTGTATGCCTGTGTGTGTGTGTGTCTGTGTGTGTGTGGTATGGAAGAAAAACAAATACATTAATGTTATTTTTTTACGCTTTGCAAATTTACAGTTACAGCAGCTCGTTTGTTCGAACTCGTTGATATAATTATTGTCTGGCAAGGAAGCACCAAAGAGTTTCCCCATCCATCAAAAAGAACGACCGAAGAGCAACCGCAGCCGAGCCGCAATCTGGAGTAGCGCAACGAGAGCTGCCTACTCAGAGAATAGCAGCAGTAGCAGCAGCAGCAGCACAAGCAGTAGGAACAACAAGATTCAACATGTCCAGCAGCAGCAGCAAGGATGATGCCTCTGCATCGAATGCCGGCGCCGCTGCCGTTGCCGTTGCAGCTGCCACAGCCAATGCTGCAACTGCATCATATGCGAATGTTGTCCAGAATCTGGATAGCAAGAAGGCAGTTGCTGCAGTCGCCGCCGCCGATGCTGTGGACAACAAGGAGAATCAACCGAATTTGAAAACTCTCAAATCGTGGAGTGAGGAAACCGCTGCCGCTGAGGCCGCCGTCGAGGATTTGCCCAATGTGGGCGAGAAACGTGCCGCCGCTGGCGGCGACAATACTGCTGAGAATTCATCTGAATTGGACGACAATAATGACTTTCTGCCGGTGCTATCATCGCATCATCGGCGTGACCGTAAAAAGGCACGCAAGGATAAGCCGACAACGCGCGAATTTCGTGACAAGCAGCAACCGCCAGCTGCTGGCAGTGGCCCTGGTCCGGTTCAGGGTCAGGGACAGGGTCAGGGCCAGAAACTGGCGCCTGGTCGGCGTCCGCCCGGCGGCAACGAAGCCGACGGCCGCAAGCAATTGGGACGTCCCCGAGCGCCACGCGGCAACAGTCCACGTAAACTGACGGCTGTGCCGGGCACCAGCGGCAATGGCAACGGCAACGGCAATGGCAAGACCCAAAAGGAACGCAAGGCTGATACCTCACCCTGCGCCAGTCTGGAGGCTAGCAACAACAGTGGCAACGAGGCCAAATCCGGCGATCCCGATGCCCAGACAGTCGCCTCGACTGCAGCAGCGCCAGCTGCGCCCCAGCCAAAACGCTTCGTTGCAGCGCCGCCGCCAAAGGTTAACGCCTGGAAGGTAAGTCGATTCTCAAATTATGCCACACATAATCCTGAATTGTAACGCAGCATTGTCGATCCTTTCGAGAAATGTTTCAATCATTTTTGTGTTAAACCAAATAACAAGAATAATGAACATCTTTGATGCAACATTTAAGATTCTTTAAGCAGACTATATTTTTTAAGAAATGGTAGAATGTTAAAACATTTCTGGATAATTCCAATTTTTGAGCACTTCCAATTGAAATTTTTTAACAGAATTTTAGTTCTTTAAATATGCTAAAATATTCCTTATTATGCTTGGCATATTTTTTTTTGATACTTTTGAAGTGTAAGAACAGTTGTCATTTTGCATGTCCACATGCTTGAAAAATGACGGCATATTTGTGTGTAGGTACACGAAATCAAAACAAAGAGCGATAGAGAGAGAGGGTTGGAGGGAGGGAGGTAGGCAAGCGAATGCCCATAAACGACATTGTTTTTGTGTTGTTTGTTGATCTGTTGGTAAACAAATATGCGTAGAATGGCATAAATGTAGCTAGAGAGAGAGGGAGACAGAGAGAGAGAGAGAGCAAAGCATAACAACTGATGAACACAACTGCAAAACGAAGACAGCAAACAGACACAAAACATGAGCATGGAAACACGTTTTCTGCTACATTATTATTATTATTTTTATTATTATTGTTATTGTTATTGTTTTTGTTGCTGTTGTTGTTAATTTGATATTTATCCAAACAAATTGATATTGCATTATTGATAGCTGCATTAATTGTTTTTATCATATTGCATAATATGGCATAGAAACATATCGTTAAAAGCACGCGAAAGCAGAAACAAAAGAACACAAATATTGGCATTTGTGTTTTGTCTTGTTTTTTTTGCGTGTTATGCAATATACGAAAAACGCGAGGCCAACGCCGGCAAATTGAGACGTCAAACCCCATGAAAAGTACGCCCACAAAAACAATAACAACAACAACACGAAGAAGACGAAGAAGAAGAACAACAACAGCGCGAGTCGTGCTCGCAATCGGTTGTTGTCTTTTGTGCTGTCTGTTCGCATGCAGCAAATAATTCGATTGCTTTATTACATTGTGTCCTCTTTGTTTTATATATATACATATATATTTTGAATTTCATTGCTTTTTGTGTTTTTGTATTTATCAAACGGCAAGCGAGAGAAAACGTAAAAAAATGTACAGTTAAAAATAAATGTCAAGGTCAGCAGCGCTGGTATCGTTGACGCCGGCTGCGGCGTCAACGTCAGCAATTGTAGTTTGTTGTTGTTTATCCAACACAAAAACGTGGAGAAAGAGCAAACGGCAAAAATTTATGATTTGGCTTCTACGAGCGAAAGAAGTGCAGCAACAGCAGAAACTAAAATAAAAAAAGTGTTCAAAAAAGGTGTGGCAAATGTTTGCATTTGCTTTCTGTATGTGTGTGTGTGTGTATGTGTGTGCCTGTATCATACAATACATATATAGACAATCTCTCCAAACGAAATCAAAGCAGAAATGTATTTCTCTCTCCTTTTGATACATGAAATGAAATAGAATCATTCTGTCCAACAATCAAAATTTAATAATTTATTAACAATGGCAAATAATGTTAATTTCTTGAACCTCCCTCGCACTTTTTTGGCCTACAATATGCAAATAGTATCATGCAAATTAAGCTAATTAAAGAAGCTTGAAATAAATAAAAACACATTCGCTCTGTTGCCGAGGTGAACACCTTCTTCATAGCAAGAACAACAACAGTTACTCTCGCTTTTGTTTCCGTTTGTTGTTGCTATCTTTGGCTGTCACACAGGTTTTTGGCTTCTCGCTGTGGCGGGTGTTCTTGTTTTTAACTACCCACCGACGTCGCGTCAAATCAGCCGCTGCACCGAAACGAAACGCAGCGCTGTGCTGCGAATCCAAATCAGAAAGTAAAGCGACCAGTTGACGTGTGCCAGTACAGACGTTCGCAACGGTCGCGTCTGTCAGTAGCTTGTTTATTTATTTTATTTGGAAAACTCTCAACAACATTTTTAGCCACATATGACAATCCAATAAAATACTAAATTAAAAACAAACTAACAAATAAACGGTCACCCTAATTCGTTAACTATTCAAATTGGGCAGCACGTGTGTTTGCGTCGTGGTTCTCTGAATTCACCACACTTGTGTGTCGTGGTGAATTGTAAATTCGCTCTGATTAATATGTTGTAAATACACATTCAGAATAATAAACACAAAGAGGCAAATATAAACGTGCATATGAGTACTTGTTGAACGCTCTCCCTGTCTCTCTCTCTCTCTCTCTCTCTGTTGTGTGCGTGTGTGTGTGTGTGTTCATTCAAATGGTATACCGTAAAGACAACCTGCTGCGCTAACACTAACACACGTACAAGCAACTGCATTAGTATGTGTATAAACAGAACTGTTTTAAATTAGAACAAATTCGCCGGCGCAACGAGCAATAATTAACAACTACAACGAGGAATAGCAACAACAAAAACAACAACAACAAACATGAAAACGAAAGTAAATATGCAAAGAACTTTAATAATTTACTGAGTTCAAAATTCAACACCTTTATTTAAATAAATGAGTCCTTTGTAGGAATAACTAATTTATTATCAAAATCGCAAGACTATATCATTAAAAGGACATAGGAAAGATGCTTAGATCTAAATTTAGTTTCTTGATGATGATCAACTTTTTGGTTTATCAGGATATCTTCTCTATGCTTCTTACAAATAAGCTCAAGTCTATTAACATCGGACAACTTTATTGCATAGCTCTAGATGAAGAATCGTTCGAAAACTGAGTTTTTGTATGGAAAATGTATCATAATCATAAATGTATATCTTTGAGATAAACATATTTATTTGTTGTCTTTCTGAAATACCCTTAACTTCTTTAGTAGATCTTCTCAATGGGTGTCCGTTCTAGAGGGTTTTGATTGTTTATATTTATATCTTTTAAATTGTTGAATATTCTTTTCTATAAAAGCTGAAAATCAACTTAATTGTAAGCAAAATTCTTTCGAATATGCACATTTTCAGATATCCCCTGTCAGTATTAAAGCGATAAGTTTTTGGTTCGATTCGCAGTACGATTTGTTACGGATCGTTGACGAAGGTTTTAATTACCGAACGCTGACAAACATGTTTATAATGTGCACATTCCCTACTTTTTATCTAATTTACGTTTCACAGTGCTTTGCTTTTAGTTTTCCATTTTCATTTTCCCTATATCTGGTTCCATATATCCATTAAGTTGGGGGGTTTTTTTTTTTGCTTATCTGTGTACGCAGACTTTTGTTTTCGTCAAGCTGTTCGCCTTAAGTAGATGCTTCTTTCTTTCTTTCATTGCATCCGGGTTGTATATTTAATTCTCTTTTGTTTCCTTGTGCATATTATTATATGTACATATATGCTTAATTGTTATTAATCTTTACACATGCTTGCCAAAGATTTCATTAAATAATACGATTTAATCTTTTAATTCAACGCAAATGGAAATTCCAATCACTTTGGAAAGGTCTTCTGGAACTTGGGACTAACTTGATGTTCCGTTTCCTGCAATTGGGTAAAAAGTAAATCTAACTTATTTAAAAGAAGGAACATGACTTCTCCAAATACAATAATATATTTATGCTTTGGTTTGAAGTCGAGCTTTGACTTATTAGAAATTTTACACTTTCAGTAAGAAAGAAGTATCGCATCTGTAAATATTATATTATATTGTGTATATCCATAAGCTTTAAATCGCTATCGTTATCTTTATAATAGGTTCTCTACGAATGAGAAGTAAAATTTAGTTATAGCTTGTATCTGCTTTTCAAACATCCAGTTAGTCAATAATAAATATTCTCCAGTAGGAAGCGGAATGCGCAGCATTTCAGGGCTTACGTACAGATTACTTATCAGTTGTGGACCCTGAATAACATAATAAATGTGTTTAACTAAGAGTTTTTTCATAGATGACAGCCTACCTGGAAGGGACAATGGTGATATAGGTTTGAAACCGTTCTGATTAATCCAAAAACTAGATTAATAGTCGGATTGTTGCGCCTGCGTAAATATGCGCAGAAGTCAATGGTTACGTTTACCAACCAGGGCTTATAACCGTTTGCTTTCTTTAGAATTTGCGTATTTATGTGCAACACTGTCACAGGATGCAACAGAGTTGCATTCAGATTAACAGTAATATTATTACGCTGTACGACGCGTAAACGGCACTCGTGAAACACAATCCACGACTTGTTGTGGGAATCGCAGACCACATTTGTGAACTTGAAGTTTGACGCATCCTGAAAGTAGTGCGAACTGAAATCTAATTATTATTATTATTAGTCAACTTTATTGTTTACCAAATTGGATAGCAACATCAACAGCAGCAGCACAGAAAATATTGTCAAAATTGTGTCCATGACGTTTTATAGCCAACTGTTTGACTATTGGCTATTTCAATTGGAATAGGCCTAATAAATAGTAGTTCCCAATTGGCCTTTGATTTCTGCTCACCATTATTTTTGCATTAGTACAGAATCAAAATATCAATAAAATAAAATTGTTTGTATTTGAGTTTATTTACACGATGATATCAATATCTATAAATAACAAAATCACATTTGACAGAACGAAGAAGGTTCGGAGCTACCTTCTATAGCTTAGTTTCTATTCCGATCTCTGAATCCAGAGTATATAAATTCGTAACTATCTAACCAGGCTCGTTCTTCAGCCTGTTCGACTATCCGTCCGTTCGTATCAAACACAAAAAAAGTAATCGATAAATTTATGCGATCGAAAAGAATATCGAATATCGATATACATATCCATAATATCAAAATTGGCATGTAACAGTCTCCCTCTGCCTCATTTGCGTTAGGAATACAGAATATTTCAATTTTGAATACCCTGCACTTAACTTCCAGAGTTAAAAAATCTTGTTTATGAGAGTATACTTGCGCTTCTGTATTGCCCTAGAAATCTTCATTAAGTCTCGACAATAAATCGTGTTTTGTTGAGGAAAGCTTGAATGTTTTAAACGGGCAGCCCTTAGCGGAGTTTAGTTAGGGTATGTTCTAGTCAGGCACTCCCGACTAGAGCAAATCTAAAGTTGCGAAATTGCTTGTCAGATGCCTTAGTAACCCGCCATATAAAATTAACTACGACCTACTTTATAGTGAAAACGCCTTTTAGAGCGAACGCGCAATACTCTCACTTATTACTCTCAAGGTCGCGTAATTTGCGATGATTAATTCCGTAACACCTTTTTCCTTTTGTTCTGATAACAATTGGTGTATTTATAAGTTGTTTACTTTCAAAAGTAATAAAATAAGTCTGTCATGTCTACGATATTGATAGGTATTGTTATTAGTGATGGGTGCACGATTATCGGAAACAAACTAGTTATGCGCAGGCACGAGGACGATCTACTTTTCAAGTCTCTAGTTCGTACGGGTTCTGAGATCCTTGACGGATGACGGACATGGAGTATATATGGTATATACTTTTATGGGAACTGAGATGCTTCCTTCTGTCTGTTATTTGTCGATAACATTATACCATTTTTTACGGCTTTTCAATAGGTTCAGGTTAGAAAAACAGAAGCTACTATAGCTTACCTTAGCTAAGACGCTTTGCTTACTAAACAAACTAATTGGGCGAGCTTTTATACTTAGTATAATTACTCTGTTATCAACTCTATCACTTGTTGTTCATTCCAATCAGAACTCGTATCTAACACATGAATGTTTTTCGAATTTTGAAACTAGAACCAAATATCTCTAGGGCCGCTCTCTTGGGGGTTTGTCTAAATGTGGCCTAGCTACGCCGTAGAATGGAGCCCATCGTTAGAATAACACCAAAACAAACACCATAATCGCAACAGTATACACCTACACACACACACACACACCTACACACACTCACACACATGCGTCTCGTTGCCTTGTGCTGGCTCCAGTTCGTCAACTTGTTGTTATCAATTTTCTAATTGCGTAAAATCCAATAATAATAAAAAAAAAACGCTTAAAATAGCAAATAGAAAAAGTAAAAAGCAAAAATACACATAAATTTATTTGCGTTCAAAGCTGACCTTTTTGTATTGCTATATTCATACTCTTGCAGAGGGTATTATGATTTTGTCGTTAAACCTGCAACGCCCAGAAGGAGACAGCTCCGACCCCATAGAGCATATATATATATTCTTGATCAGTATCAACAGCCGAGTCGATATAGCCATGTCCGTCTGTCTGTTTTTATGCGAACTAGTCTCTCAGTTTTAAAGTTGTTTTTGTGAAACTTTGCAGAAGTGTCTCTTCGGAACTAGCTGTATCGGACTATATCATATAGCTGCCATAGGAACGATCAATCGAAAAGTAGGCTCTTGCATGGAAAACTTTTTTGTTTTTCGAAATATCTTGACCAAACTCGGAATTTATTATTTATACTATGCTGCCCATATATATGCAAAATCCAATTAAGATCGGACCACTTTATCATATAGCTGCCATAGGAACGATCGGCCGAAAAGTAGCTTCTTGTATGAAAAAGTTTTTTGTTTATCAAGACATCTTGACCAAACAAGGGTTTAATTATTTCTACTATGCTCCTCATATATATGCAAAATCCTTTTAAGATCGGACTATTATATCATATAGCTGCCATAGGAACTATTGGTCGAAAAGTAGGTTCTAGTATGCACAACTTTTTTGATTATCAAGGTATCTTGACCAAACTCGCCATTTAGAGTTTTCACTATGTTCTCCACATTTATGCAAAATCTTATTTACAACGGACCTTTATATCATATAGCTGTCATAGGAACGATCGGTCGAAAAGTAGGTTCTTGCATGGAAAACTTTTTTGTTTTTCAAGATATCTTAACTATACTCGAAATTAACTGTTTTCCCTGTGCCTCTTAGATACAGATACTAATGTCTACAAGGGTATTAAATCTTCGGTATACCAAAGATAGACCCTTCTTTTCGCTTTATATAGAAGTTAGTTCTTAGCATATTTATTTGTCAGCCTGTGTTGATAAGACTTGTTTGGCTCGGTCGAATAGCTTGGAAACCTGTTTAGCTGGTCGGTAGCCCCGCCACTGACACACGCCTCTCGCTCTGAAATATGCATAATTGTTGATTTGACTTGGAGCACGTTTCCCAGCTCAGAAATAAGCACTTTGGCGGCCGGCATTTCGCACCGCTCGATCGGTCACTGGCTGCCATCTATTTCAATTTACTAGAACGTAGAAGACCCTCAACTGCCTTCGCTCTACACCCCCGCCCCCTAGCGGGGGGGTCAGTGTGAAAAATGTACTAGAGAATGTGGGTATATTTGCACGATTTCTTGCTGCAACTGTCTGTTGTATATTTTTATACGATTTGCAGCGTCGCGGTCGGCGCTGACTGCGACGTTAACTGTTGACTAGTTTGGGTATATTTAAATTGTTCTATTGCATTTGAATCGTCTCAGTCGTCTGTCAGCGATCGTTCGTTGTGGAGCTATACAAAGAAACGTATCATCTATATATGTACATATATACAAAAATATAATTACATTTGCAACTTTATTGCGTATTAATTGTGATTTGCTATTTCTTTCAACTCAAGAGGCAAGTTCATGTTTTGTTTTGCAAATATTCTCAAGGCTTTTCAAATCTAATGGGAAAATCGAAAATCGACTAAAGTATCTACGATGATTAATGCACATGAGATTTCTCGTTTCATATAGTTTTGTGCTTTTCTAATTAATGACCTTGAATTATCAGCAAATACTACGTACAATCATCATATTCGAATCTAAGTGCAAACGTATTTTATTTTTATACATTTTATTTTTATATGGCAAATACGTCAGTGCCGGGGGGTTCATATGTCTTTAAACAGATTAGAGCAATAAATGTACATACATATATTTGTTTGCTTTTAGTAAATGTACAAAAGTACGTGTACTTACAAGTATATACTTTTATTTAACAAGCAGCACGCTGATAGCACGTGGGCTTGGGAAAATGTTTGAGTGGAAAATTACTTGCCCCGATTCTAAACGAGTCATGACTCATATCGAGTCCTGCATTTGGGGCTGAGTCATGGAAAACCTTGAATGTGGAGGATTTGCTCTAAATTTGGCTACGTGCTGGGTTCCGCACTAATATAAAGATTTCTAGGCTAGACACATACAACACAAAGATCCCATTTTAATGCATTTTCTTAAATATATTCAAAAATCACTTTTTATAAATGAATTTTGGTATGCAATATGTATGTGCATATATATTTACATATGCATGCATGTATGTACATATATGAAAGAAAAAACAACGCGCAATTCATTCTCTCTTTCTCTCCCTCTCACCTTCTCTCTCGCTCCGTTTTTTCTCTTGTTAATTCGGTGTCTTGCATGGCGAGTTTTCCACCACCCGTGGTTGCTGCGTCTGTGGCCTACGTGCCGAAAATCACATGTTGTTTATTTTGCTGTTTTTCGCTTTACAGTTACAAACTTGTGTGAGCGAAACAAAAATGTTTACGTTTACTGCCAAGTGTTGTTTTGACTTCAGTTGGCTCACCTGTTAATTATTTTGTTTTTATAAGTAAAGCCCCAAAAAAAAAATACACAACCAAAATATATGCATAGTATACAAAAAACGAATTAAACAACAAATGGAACGCACGTAGTACACTCATACATTCATACACAAAAAAAAAGAAGGAAAACGTGTATCCATCTATTATACAGGGTGCTCTATAGCCTGCGCTGACTCTCGCTGCCTTGGCTCCGGCAAATTGCGCTCTCGCTCTCGCTCTCACGCATAAAACAACCGGCGCATCGGCTGTTTTTTGTTTTGTTATTTTGAATCGGTTTTATGTTCAATCTTTGTTGCTTTGTGAAACCAGTTGGTCTTGTTGTTGTTGCCGTCGCTGCTGCCTGGCCCTCTTTGTCGTATGCGAGCGCTGCTGCTGTTGCTGTTGTTTTTGTTGTCATCTTCGTTGTGTTCGCTTTTGCTCACGTAGTCAAGGCGTGCACAGCGTACGCGCGGCAGCAGAGACGCGAGCAGCGGCAGAGCTGTTGTCATTGCTTTTGGTTGAATTGTAGCGCACAGAATTCAACTGGCAGTTAAAGAGAACGGACGCGTTTTAAGAAAAAGTCTTCCACACCAATTAAAGATAAACAGTGAACGGTCATTTGTTTAAACAAATTGTGAGAGTGAGAGCAGCAAGCAACAACAATTGAAGCAATTTAAATGCATGTGTATTGTGGGAACAGCAAAACAAACACAGTGTGCGATAAGACATATACGAAAAGAGCTGCAAGCGGCTAAATTAAATTATTTGTATGTCAGTGTTGTTGGCTTTTATATTTATGGAAAATTTTACGCATTTCTGAAAAGCTTAAGGTAATTTCCTTCGCAAGATGTACAATATATATGTATATATATATATATATATATATATATATATGTGTGTGTGTTTGCGCACATCATTTCTATAGCATGTTTTTGTCTGTATCTCGCTAATGCGTGCCACGAACCGAACCGTATCGTATCTGGGTTAGGGACACTCCCCAAGCCGAATGGCTGCCTGCCTTGGCTTTGTTGTTGTTGTTGTTGCATGTGACATTAGGTTCTAGGTTAGGTTTGGATTTGAGTAAAAAAAAAAGAAATGAAATGAAACAACGTTGAATTGATTTTTCAATCGTCTCTATGACGCACATTATACAAAACACAAAACACAAATGTTTAGCACTTTTCAATAATAGTAAACGTATTAAACTTTTATTTTTTTTTAAATAAATTTCTTTCATGCAGATATCAACAAAACAAGTGGGCAGCCCAAAAGCTGGCAGCTCGCCATTGGACAAACGCGTCTTGCAACCAAAGGTGCAACAACAACAGCAGCAGCAGCAGCAGCAATCGAAACAGACTGTCGGCAGCAACAATAATAATAATAATAATACCAATCAGGGCGCACAAAACAGCAACAAAAAGACACAGCAGCAGCAGCAGCAACAACAACAACAACAACAACAACAGCAAGCAGCGACACAGCCTACAATAAAAACCACAACAACAACAACAACAGCAGCAGGAGCAGCAGCAACAGCAACAGCAACAACAAGCGTCGCCGCTTCAACGAATGGTGAGTAAACGTGTTCTCTCGGCTCGGTCGCTCTTTCTCTCTGTTTATTTTTCGTCTCTCGGCGCAACTGCGTCGGATATACGATATGACGTGATGTTGTGATTGGCCTGATTCAAAATAATTCTTATATTAACAATACTTTCCATTGTACCATACAGTTGATGCCACTATTGCGGATGCGCTTGCCAGTGCAGTGGTAAAGGACAAAAAGAAGGTCAATCAAAAGGTAAAGCAATTCAGCCATGCTCAATTGTTGCCTGTTTTACAACTATTTTTCAATTCTCGTTTGCAGGCTAGCGATTTTAGCAACGTTGGTGAGTGGCCCACGCTTATCGGAGGGGTTTCGGCCAGTGGCAAAGCCACCGTTAACGAACCCAAACGTAGCTCAACAAAGAAACAGGCAGTGGCCAAAGGAACATCGACCGCTACAACAACCCAACCCGCAGCAACAGTAAACACAGCATCAGCAGCCACAGGAGCTGCCACAAAAGAAGGCAGCGCAGAGCCAAGCGTTGCCCCAGTTTCCAGCAGCACCAGCAGCAATAGCAGCCAAGCTAATAACGCCAGCACAGCCAGCACGAGTCATGATGCCAAAAGCCAGCGAGACGCCGAGCAATCCACTGGCAGCGCAACTGTCCCAGCTGCTGGCGCCCTTGCCGGAGCTGCCATTAACAAGAAAATACCCAAGCACAAGTGGCGTCCGCTGCAAATCGATCTGGCCAAGTCTAGCCGTCCCAAGCCTATTGGCGGCCGGCCCAATCGCCGGTTCAGCGATGATGCGTACGAGCAGCGGCGCCCGCCACGTGCATACAATGAGCGCGGCGTCCCAGCAGGCGCCAGAGGTGCTGAGGGCCAGTCAGGAGGCACAACTGAATCGCGGCCACATGGTGGCCGCTATGCGTACAACGCACGCACGTCTGCTGCGCCCGAGCGCGTGGATTCCTGGCGTAGCAGCGGCCCCAGTGCCGCTGTCTACGATGAGCAGCGCTCAGGCACAGGAGCAGAAGGAGCAGCAAGTGTCGCGTCAGCGCCAGGGGCTGGCGGGTTGCGTGGCCCACGCCGCTTCCGGACGCCGTATCGGGGCGGCCGGCAGGGGCGCGGTGGATTCACAAGACCGGGACCAGGTCGTCCAACTAATCGCATACCACGCCATCTGTTAGCTTCCGGCGAGTACGTCAACTATTTGCCGGCGGACGCAGCCGGCGCAGATTCCTCGCAATCCTATGTCCTCATGGGCACACACTATTTCGGCAATGTGCCGGCTGCCTACATTGAAATGGACGCCACTAGCGTCAAGGAGGCCATCAAGAAGCAAGTGTAAGTACTTGTTGTAGTCCAGCCCAAAACTCTTCTAGTCAGTGTATTCTGTGATAAATATAACTAAACTTAAATATATAATCTTAACCTATCATAAAAGTGTGATATTAAGTGCATAAACGTCCTTGAGTTACTTCGATGTCAGTGTGTGCATAGAATTTCCCTAATCTAAATATTTTATATAAAACTGTTTATTCTGACTGACTGATAGCTAGCCGCAATTGTGGAAAATTCGTGAAAATTTTTGAACTAACAATACGATCACGAGTTTCACACTTTTTAGAATATAGACAAATTGGTTGGAGTGTGAGGCTTAAGTTTGCATGGAATGTGAGATCGTTTCGCAAAGAATTCTATACGTGCTTCACCGAAGAAGCAAAGTTCAGCTCAGGGGTGAAAACTGGGCGAACAGCTCTTGATTGCAACCATTTCTATTTTCAAGATCCGATCCGATTGTAAAAAATTGTAATTTTCCACGGGGAAAACTATTGAAGCAGTAGTGTCAATAATTTGAAATTGGAAACTTGTTCTGCTATCATAATATAAGTATTAATTAATATGACGTCGACCCATTTGCACATGGACTGTTCTACGCTATCCTTTGTGACGTTCTTCACAAGCGTTTTGACTAACTTGGTTTCTATTGCACCCTTTCCCGCAGTGAATACTATTTTAGCGCCGATAATCTCACAGGCGACTTCTTTTTGCGCCGCAAAATGGACCCAGAGGGTTATATACCGGTCACCCTGATCGCCTCGTTCCATCGCGTCCTGGCGCTTACAACAGATGTGGCATTAATTGTCAACGCCATTAAGGACTCGGACAAGCTGGATCTGTTTGAGGGCTATAAGGTCCGCACAAAGACAACGCCCACCATTTGGCCCATCAGCGATGCCCTTGACGCCAAGGGTCAGCTACTCACTGATAATGCGGACAAGTCGCAGTTGCAGGATCAGGAACAGCAACAGCAGTCAGAGAAGCAGGTGGAGAAGCCAGATAAGCAGACTGAATCGGTAACAGAGGCTGTGATGCCGGAGGTACCATTGCCATCATCGCCACCACCAGCCATATTGACCTCAGCTATGGCCACGAAGCCATTGAGCAGCATACCGCCGCCGCCGGTGCCGCGTAATTCGCAGAATCTGGTGCCAAAAATGCTGCTGGAGAAGCAGCGACCCACAATGTCGGGCATGAACTCGGTGAATGCCATCAGTGCACTTACCCAGCGCGTGGAGGGGGTTGGTGGCCAGAAGGCTGGTGTTGGTGCTGCGGCTGAGCTAGCCGATCATCTGAGCGGTCTGGCCGAGAGTGTCAAGCCAAAGGGCAGCTCGACGCCGGAGAAGCGAACGACGGCATTGGCAGCTGGGACTGTTGAAGGTGATGGGGTAGCAGCTGCTTTGGTGGCAGAGCCTGAGGGCATGTGGAAAGAGGTAAAGAGACGCTCCAAAACAAACGCTTTAAAAGAAAACGCTACTAAATCTATCAACAACAACAACAACAACACGTCCACGACAACACAACAGCAAACGCTTTCACAAACGCTCAAAAACAATAACAATAACAATGTCAAAAATGTCAAACCCAATAAAAACAACAACAACAACAACAACAACCACACTGTTACCGCAAACGCCACCACGACCACGTCAATGTCCACCACGTCCAAGTCCTCGTCTGCATCCAACGCCACATCCAACGCCTCATCAGCCAGCAACACATCCATCGCTGCCTCTGTTACCACCAACGCCACAACCACCACCACCACCTCCTCCACTGCCACAAAAATCAACAATAAGAAATCATCTTCTGGCAACGCTGCTTACACGACCAACTCCCAATCCTCCTCCAAAACAGCTGCTGCTGCGCCATCCGCTCAGTGCCATGCCGAAAAGGAAGAACTAGACTTTCAATTTGACGAGGAGCTAATGGACCCCATACCCGCCACTGGACGCATCAACAACTTTACCGAAAACTTTGACGACGACGACGAATCTGATTACGAATTTGCTGACCGCGACATCAACAAGCTGCTCATTGTCGCCCAGGTGGGACGTGCGCCCAAACATGATGGCTATGATCGCACCGCTGATTACACCTCTCGCACGAAAATCACACAGGATTTGGAGAACATAATCAATGATGGGCTGGCCAACTATGAAGAGGATTTGTGGACTACCACCAATGTGGTGCCCAACAATGACTATCGCACCGTCAATGTCATTTCTCAGGCGGACTTTGAGAAGCTAGCGGTCAGCAAGAGAACAGCAAACCAGCTGCAAGCGCAAAAGCAACCGCCACCGCCGCCGCCAAGCTATGTGGACGAACCGGAACATGATGCCGATAGCACTCTAGTGGATGCTGATGCAACGCTCAATTCCACACTGAACTCCACGTTGAAGTCTCGCCGTGCGCGCTTCTATGCCGCACCAAATTCGCATTCAATTGATCCGCGCACACCAAGAAAACGCAAATTGCGTCACACCGCCAATCCGCCAGTCGAAGCCCACGTGGGTTGGCTCTTGGACACCGTTGAACATCGACCTCGTACCACCTCGATGGGTTCATCGACGGGCACATCGCCCACCACATCGTCCTATGGTTCATTTGGATCATCAGTGCCGCAATCGTTGCCCGTTTTCCAGCATCCATCGCATGCGCTGCTCAAGGAGAACAACTTTACACAGCAGGCATATCACAAGTATCATTCACGCTGCCTGAAGGAGCGTCGTCGCCTCGGCTATGGCCAATCGCAGGAAATGAACACCCTCTATCGGTTCTGGTCCTTCTTCCTGCGCGAGAACTTTAACAAGAGCATGTACAATGAGTTCCGTGCTCTGGCGCTGGAGGATGCGGGCAACGGTTTCCGCTATGGTCTGGAGTGCCTATTCCGTTTCTTTTCGTACGGCCTGGAAAAGAAGTTCCGCCCGAATGTCTATCAGGACTTCCAGGACGAGACTATTGCCGATTATGAGACAGGTAATTAACGAATATATAATCAATATATATATGTTTAATTATATTAATACCCATTTGTCCGCTAGGTCAACTTTATGGCCTGGAGAAGTTCTGGGCCTTCCTAAAGTACTATAAGAACGGCGAGAAATTGGAAGTGCAGCCCAAGTTGGCCGAATATTTGAAGAGCTTCAAGAATATTGAGGACTTCCGCGTTGTGGAGCCAGAGATCAATGAAATGCTACAGGGAGTTGGCAGCCTGACTCCCGGTCGTCAGCTCAACAGACTGCGCAGCGTTTCCGAAAGCGACGGCACCGCTGTGATCACCGCCGGTGGTCGTCGTCTGAATACCACAATCACCAATCGCAGTGATTATGTGGGTCGCCTGCTGCAGCAACAGCATCAACAGCAACAGCAGCAGCAGCAACAACAACAGCATCATCAACATCAGCATCAGCCAGGCAGCGGCTATGGCGGCTATGGTCAGCAGCAGAATCGTCGACGCACTGGCTCCTTTGGCAGCAGCACTGTGCGCATTCGCAGCGGCTCTCTAGGCAATAAGCCACAGGTGGCAAATCGCAATTATCAGCAGGGCTCACAGCACGAGCTGCGCCGCGGCGGTAGCAATTCCGGTCTGGCGCCACACAAGCAGCGCCAACAGCAGCAGCAACAGCAGCAGCAGCAACAACAACAACAACAGCAACAGCACAAGGCAAAGCAACAGGTAGCCTCACAGATCGGAGCACAGTTAAGTGCAGCACGCGCCAGCAACTCCACTACAGGGCCGGTAGCAGCAGCACCCACCTCGTCGTCAGCGTTGGCGGCAACAGCAGCTGGAGTGTCAACTTCCTCCTCGTCATCGTCAAAGAAGTAATTCGCAATAACGCAGCCACACATATGAATTAAGATTAATTATGACTTACAATTAGCTTGGAGCTTGGATTTGGATCTTCTGTGTCCAACTGCTCTTCTCTCTTTTGTTTATTCTTATTATTCTTTATTTTTTTTTTAGTAGTATTCGAGTGAAGCGTTATGTGGGGACATCCGTTAGCGTTAGCCTAATTAAGTTAAATTTGAAATTTGTTTATTGCAATTGCTTCGAGTTGGTTTAGTAGTTATGAATAATTGTTTATATTGTTTTTCTCTCTTTCTCCCACATCTAACTGAAACGATTGCTTATGAAATGCTCAATGTTTGTTGTTAGTACACATTCACATCCACACAAACACAAAGACCACACCCACAACAACAACAACAACAACTAAAACCACACATATTCATATACACAGGCAATCTGTGCTCTGTGCCCAGTGCCAATCAGCTATGAACTAAATTATCTTCAATTTTCATACAAAATTTGTGTTGATTGTTCATATTTGAATATATATATATATATATATATATATATATATATATAACAACAAAGAAATTTCCTACTGAAGCAGCGTTGATAATTGAACGTTATGCCATTAACTGTTGTACTATATACGATAAAGATAAAGCTAAAGATATAACGATAAATAACCCTACTATAATTACCAAAACGACAATGTAAACGAAATTAATATACAGAAACCAAATGATCTTAATGCAAATTAATTTTGTACATTAAATATTCGAAATGTGCATCCGCAAAAGTACATTCAAGTTATATTAATATATATATATATATATACACCACCACCATATATATACACATATATATATATATATATAGATAGATACATCCATATGTATATTCTATATATAGCAAATGCATAACAAATATTTCTTGTGTGGCCCAGGCGCAAATTTAATGTTATTGTATAAAAAGCTGCGTTTCTTATCCTTAAACCTATACCTATCGAGGCAAGCGGGCGCCACTGCCAGCGAATTTTAGTAATTTAGGCATTTAAAATGTATCCGAAATGCAATTTTCAATCTGAAATATCTGAGGAGAAACCAAAAATCCGAATCAATTCTGATTGATTTTCATTTTCTTTTGAGCATTGCACTGCCCCTTCACAAGTTTCCCCAGTTCATAAAGCTGTCAATTGGCAACATAATTCGGAATTTTATATATATATATATATTTTTTTTGTTTAAACCCGCCAAGCATTTAAACGTTTATGTTCATAACCGTAAACCCTTTTCTACTTTTAAGTTATTGCACTTGTTACATTTATTTGAAATACTAGAAAAACTGAAAGAAAAAAAAATCTTCAAAATTATGAAAAAATATTTTCAAGTCAAAAAAAAAGTTTAAAACGTTAAAAACGAAAAAAAAAAAAACAAAAAATAAAGCAAATCGATGCAAACGAAGAAAAAAAAAAACAAAGCAGATAACTAAAACCCAACAATAACAAAATGTGTTTTGCATAGCTATTAGATTTAGATTTAAACATATGTGAGAAATCAAACGTAAGCTTACTACTGATAATTACCTATATACGATATACATATGACTAAAGCGTAACTATCATTTGAAAATATAAGTGTAAAATCCACGGTGAAGTCTTTGCTTGATGCTCAGTTTGCAAAACTGCAGATCAGCTTCAGCATATGGAATATTAAATCCCAAAATCCAATATGAACTAATCCCAAATCCATTAGTCTCCTTGGTTTCTGCTACGCTCATCTAACAATAAGCAACCAAATAAGTAAAAGTGCAAACATTTGTCATTACACATGCATATATAATTATTTCTTTTAAACATTAGTTATTTGTAAATATCTTTTCTGCTTTTAAATTGTCACTCCGTAATTGTAAACACACACACACACACGCACGCACACACACAAAACACACGAACACCTCACACATGCTTTCCCTTGAGCTTATATATATATATATATATATTTATATATGTATGTATAACAATATTGACAACATTTTTAATGACATTTTCAATCAGAATTCGGCTGTTGCATACCTCGTAAATGTATATTAATTTGCGGTCCAAAATGTTTTAATTTCTTTTCCACACTGAAGTGCGCAAATATGTTGAGTTTTTGATTATATATATATATAAATATATATATCTTTTTATGATTATTAACTAAATGGGACACATTTTAGACTTTTTGTGGTATCCCTTTAAGTTTTCAATTTTTTATATAATATACATACTACAATAATTCTATGATACCTTTATATACAAACTACGAAATGATGCAAAACCCAAGTAAACGCAAAAAATCTAATAATTAATTTTGTAAGTTACTTAAATGAAAATACGAGAAAACAAGAAAAATAGAACGAAAAAAGATTATTGTGAAAAACGTGATAGTTTAAACCATAAAGATTAATATTTACTATTATTATATAAATAATTAATTATAAAGTATAATGCAGAAAAAAAAAACAAAAAATTTATAAACTAACGTAACAAAAAAATTATAAAAATTTTTTAAAATTAACAAAAAAATGTTAAAAGTAAATTGAGTAGAAAAACTAAAACAAAAAAAAAAAAATGAATAAAAAAAAAAAACTTGAAAAAACTCAACAGCTGCAGCTTTTCGAAGTGCGAGGCGCAAATTGGACCCGTGCAAACAAGTTAAATACCCTGAAGCTTTTCCCAGTGGTCGGAAAATGGATTTTTGGGCCAGCCGTGCACTGCTTTGTTTGATACCAAATAACGGCAATTGTGCAGCTCTTGTTGCACAGAAATTGCACTAGAGGGCGCCACAGTTCGGCCACAAAATGTTGCCGCAGCATGTTGCCATTGAGTAGCTGACCCCAAACAGAATCTGCAAAGGACAACAAACCGATGCATAACTAACGGCATAAACATAAACATAAACGTAAATATAAACTTAATAAACTCGACACACAAATCGACCTTTTGAGTAATTAACCCCTTTTTGAAGTTATGCGCCATTTGTCAAGCGAGCAACAAATTGCATACCAAGGAGCAACACACACGCACACACACACACACACATACCCTACGCCTGCTCCAGCCTTCTCTACGGCTTACACACACACGCACGCACACACCTTATGCTGTTGGCTTTGTCGGCTCGGCTCTAGCGTTGGGTGTCACAGATTAACGCCTTACTTGAATTATGGGCCAGCAGGAAAGCCTGGCCAGGCCGACCCCTGCGACCGGGCCAAACTACTCGACAAATCCGAACAGAAACAAAAAGTCGACGCGTGGAAAAATCATGTATAAAACATAAGAGCGACAAACACGCACACACATCTACTGGGTGGGAGGGGGTCTATCGGAGCTGGCTCAAAGGCACGCAAGACTCTGGTGCAGGAGGCCATAACACCTACCATATGTACGTCGCCAGATGCCAGGCCCAGAACGGAGCCAGCGTGTGAGGCGTTTAAAAATTGAAAACCAATTTCGTAGCGATTTAAAACACGATGCCATTCGATTGGGTGGCGTTGGGCCTGGCACATGTGTGTGTGTGTGCCGGCTCATTGTGTGACTTTTCACACTTCCCTGGCCCGCCACTTGGGCTCAGTGTTTAGATTGTGTTACCAATATTTATGGCTCAGTGGGGATACGCGCGACTTTTGGCTGGCGTGACTGCAGCTCAGGATCGGGGCCAAGTCTAATCGCCTGACCCCTTGGCGCAGCTTTTAGCTCTAAACTGGATCTTATGTGTGGAAGCGAGCGACTTTCTGGTGAGTGTGCATGTATGGTTGTTTAATTTAATGGGCGTTTAACCCGTGACTTGCCTTTGAACTTTAGTTGCACTGAGAACAGGAGGGGCACATCGTCTCATGATGGATATGTCTATGGCGCAACGATGCAATTTATTGGCACTTCATTTCATAATCAGTTTGCTGCACTCGCCTCGGGTCCAATCATAGCTGGATATTAAGTAGCTGCTTGTCCGCCGGCGGGAGTAATTTGTCCAGCTGGGCAGCTGTGCACAAACTATGCATACGTACATATACATATGCATAATTATGAAAGTAACGAGGCTGCAGGGTAGCTAAAGACGATTATGCACCTGACGCACCTGTAAGCAAAGAGCAGGTAATAATATTACGTGTGAAATACATATATTTATAGCCTGTCCAGCAAGATATGCCCCTGCTCATTGCTGGGAAAGGTCAACAACGATTTTAATAGGGGTAAAGCTTGGTGGAGAAGGCGTGCTATAAACTATTAATTTTTTAAAGTTGAAGAAGCCTGCTGGAGCGGGCTGGCAACCGAAAATTCGGATTCCAACTTAAACTTTGTAAGGCAAAAAGTAGAAATTGCTTCTGAATTGACTCAATACGATTCCGGCTGTAGTTATACTGCGTAGACCAGAAACAAGAACGGTATTTAAGGCTTCTCCATACTTGCAAATGAAATATTTCCAAAACCCCGTCTTAGCATGCCCCTTTTATCGCAAGAAGTAGCTACAGCTCTCTCTCTCTCTTATGGTCTTGGCTGTGCGTTGATCATCAATCAGTCAGTCAGTCAATCAGCCAATCAGTCAAGCAGTTTTACATATATACAATATGTGTATATATATATTCTTGAAAAAGTTAGTAATAAATTATCATTGGCTCAGTTCGTGGCTGTCGCCTTAAGGTTTGGTTCGTGAACCAGGTGTTTCATATGGCTGAACCTAGGTTCTGGTACCTTTTCATTTTTAACACCCCAACGAGGGGGAAGACAACAAATCTGGCTGTCGCACTGTCTTACTTTAACTCTTTTCTAAAGTATCGCTTCTTAGGCAGAGTATGAGGAAAGTTTTCGCATGCCAAGGGCTGTTTTGGTTATGGAGTCCTTGGATATTATGCTTGAATAGAAAATTAATTAATGCTATTCGTGCATGCGTGTATGCATAAGCCTAATTGGCTGGGTAGCTCTGATTTCAGAGGTAAATCTCCATATTTGGATAATCCTCACAATTGGCAGCGTCATTTGCGCAGCCCTCGATACCCGAAGACCGCAGCACCAACAATTTGCACATGGGCTTATCGCCATTATTTTCAGAGACCAAAAATATTTTGGCGTATTCACATTTTTGCCTTGGCACACCGAGTAATTAGTTTGGTCGAGCCCGGGGAAAATTTGTCACCGCAGCATGGAGCGGCATTAGGAAGCCCCGCTATCAGAGCCATGCGCTCAACTGATTCAATGGATTTTTGGCTGCATCTACGTTATTTCAAATAATTAAATTGAATATTTCATAAAATTGTTTCAGATGCGCTGTGAACTCCTCCACACAAGGCATCTGTGTGTGTGTGTGTGTGTGTGTGTGTGTGGGCTGCCCAAAAACTAATTATATTTTAGGGTTTCAATGCTCGCGGCTTAGGCTATGAGTTTTGCCAAGGTAAATAACCAATGCAGTCAATAAATATTGGCAATTTTATTGGCTGCTTTTGCTTTGACAGTTATTTGGCTTAATGAAATTGATATGGGCCTGCCTGAAATATTTACAAAAAAAAAAACAAAAAAAAACAAAATAATAATAAAAATTGTGCATAGTATAGATTTATATCAAATATTATATTTCGCTTGAGGAAGTACAGTTGGCAATCAAAGGTAAATGAATGTGCGAATATTCATTTATTTATTTGAAGATATGAGAAGAAAACATTTATTAAGACTAGTTTCTAGTTTATTGACACAAACATGCGTGTTTGTCATGACTGATTGACTGGCTGACTGATTGACTGATTGACTGGCTGACTGACTCATTTGGATACTGCATTCTACGGTATTTAAATTTTGTGCTCAGGGTGTTTAGACTGGAATTTGGGATGAATCTTTTTCTCTGACAAACTCATTTTCTAATACTTTTGTACACATTCAATGAATTCACACTTATCGCAACAATTACCTCTGCAGCCTGCAACTTACCTTAAACCCAACTGACCATAAGTCTGCAAGGGTATTTAATCTTCGGCGTCTCCGCCCAACTTGTGTTTACTCTTCTGTAGCTGAAGCGACATTCAAAGTGCTTATATATGTCATATAGATCAGCAGAAACAGCTGTTCTTGCAATTGAAGTGAGTTAATCTGTGTACTTGGGGCTCTTAGAGGCTAAGGTGTCTTGAAATTGACGCTTATATGGCAATTAAAATACATTTAAATACAGGCGAGCGCACACAGTTAACTGCTCAAGTTGACAAATTGTCACTAAGAGAGAGATAGAGAGAGAGATGTCGCCTGAGACAGGGGGAGAGAAGGTATAGAGCTGAAATGAAATTAATGACATGTTTGCCCAACTCAGGGACATTAACGCAGCTTCTGCCGATAACCTTGCGTCCACACACAGACAACAGCAACAGCAACAGAAACAACAAAAACAACAACAGCAGCAACAACAACAACCATGCGCATACAAAATTGGTCCAAGTACAAACAGGAAACGGAAGTGCGTCAGTGCTTGGACATGGCTATCTCTGTCGCACTAGCCGTGTGCGTGTGTGTGCGAGTCAAGGGATTTATTAAAATGTCAAGCTGGCCAGGATCAATGGCTAACACACACACACACACACACACACTCACACACACACGCACACTTGCAATTAGACTTATACAAATGCCGTATTATTTCCACATTTTTGTTGTACACATTTATCTGGCAGTCCAGAAATGCAGGAATTGCGTTTCCCAACTACCCAACGCCCGTGTGTGCATGTGTGTGTATCTGTGTGTGACAATTAGATAAATACCAAGACACGCACAACGCTGTGTCTGGGGGCTGCTTGGGTTTTTTTTTTTTTTTTTGCTTCATTGGCATTTTTCTACACTTTGGCTCCCGTTCAGCTAAGCTGCCAACGTTGTGGTCATTCTTTGTGCCTTTGCCTGTGCATGAGTCTGTGTGTGTGCGTGCGCGTGTGTGTGTGTGTGTGTATGTGTCCTAAGTCCTGTCAAGTTGCTGCCATTGTTGTCGCTGCCGCTGCTGTTGTTGTCTGATAGTTGTAATTGGCCAACTAAAATCATGTGACAAATTAACAGCGCAAAATTTATTGCCTGCCCGCCGCCTTAAGCTGTTGATGAAGAATTATTGTGTGCGTTCCATTGGACTCTTCCAGTTGCGACTTGTCCAGACCGCACACATGTCAGCATGAGACAGCGTTTAAATATTGGCATCAGCCAAGCGCAAGGATTGTCCAGGACTTGTAGCTGAAGCACTTTGTTCAGCTGCTTACCTTAGGCTATTTTGTGCATTCAACTTTTGGCGTTTTACTTATTTCTTGCATTAAAATTTGATTTACTAAGGTAAATGGTTATTTGTAACTTTTCTATTTGTTGCAAGCTTATAATATTTAAAATGACAACATTTCATTACATACCAAATTATATAGCTCTCACAAGAAACCAATTTGAAGCTAACATCACACATAACACGATATCACATTTTTCGTGATAAAAAATGTACACATGTACATACAGTAAAAACTCTATTGTGCGGACAGCGACAGTGGGTTGATTTGTGTCTGATTCAAAATGCTTTGGATGCGATGCATCTTCTAGACGAGCTCTTTCACTTGTTTCAACAGTAGCAGCCAAGTTGATATTATATTTTGGTCAAGCGCAGGCAATTTGCATACACACACACGCTCACTCTCTCAAACACACAAACACTCAAACACACGCACACAACCAAACACATTTATGTCTGCATATATTTGTTGTGCATATTATACTCACCATGGCCAGCGCATGCATTAGGAATATTGTTGTTTCTGCTGCTGTTGCTGAAAACATTAATTAATGCGCCTGCAGCCAAATGATGCCATTTGGTATGAGAAGTGCGCCAGAAGTGCGCAGACGATGGATTTGTTGCAAGCTGTTTAGGGGCGTGTGCCTGCAGGCGTGCCGGAAATGCATTCGACCGTTCAGCATGCGTGCATGTCTTATGCACAATGGCATTTAAGATGTGTGTGCGCCCAAAAAACATTTCGCTGCACACACACACACACACACACTCACACATGGAAGCACACATGCACACACCTGGTTGGGTAACATGTTCCTGTTTCAATTGCTGCAGGCGGCGCCAGTGCCGGAGCAAACTACAATACACACACAGCAAAACTAAAAGCGTCATGTTTTTGTACGCTCCACTGCGAAACGGAAAAACAACAACAAGGACGGCAACTGGACAAACAACAGAATCTGCAGCAGCTGCCGCAATTAAGCACACAAAAACCAAAAACGCTCCGAGCATTTCCGGCAGACCCTTGGTCTACCTTATGCAGCTGCAGCGCCAGCTTAACCCGAACTGCTGCCGTTGCGGACTTCCGCAATTAAATTAAAATGACCCAAAAATAAAATTAAGTCCCTTATTTGGCATACACGGCAACGTCATAGGCTTAAGGAGTTCCGTGACACTGATTTGTCGCATTTTAATTAGCCCTTCGTTCTGGCCAGCATTGATTGCCATCTGTTCGGGCCCTGCTGTACAGCACTTGTGCTCTCAGGCGGCGTCTTCTTTTTAGCCAACTGATTTGCCTGCTCCTTGCTTAGACTCGACTACGCCTGGCAGCAGCTTCGCCTGACAGCGTTGCATCTGTAATGAAAGTGGTGCTCGAGCAAAATGGAAAATTTATTGCGCTGACAGTTATGGGTCCATAACAATAATAAAAACAGCAGCAACAGCAGCAGTGGGGGCGGCGGCGGCGGCGCGTCTGGCAGCAGCAACAGGGAGCCGCATCCGCAATTCGCGTCCTGGCGTTGATGATGATGGCAATGATGGTGCTGATAGCCGACGATGCTACTTCAAAGTCAACTTCAATTGCTGCGCCCGGCAGCCGAGGACATTCATTGGTTTGCGCGCCAGCCTGGTCGCAAGTCCTGCCCAGCCTGGGCCCAGGCACTCCCGTTGCCAGTCCTAGAACGCGGCACGCCTGCATTGCCTGGGACTGCAGTCCTGCTGCCGCTAAGTGCGTTTCGGAGTGCCCTTTTTGTGCGGCGCTCATCAGTGTCGCATTTGGTTAATGGCAAAAAAAGAATAGTGGCGCCTGTCATAAATGTGTTGCGACTGCCATGGCGCTGGCAGCCCGATGCCGTTTATATTGACAGCCTGTCGGCCATTTGTGCCAATGCCGAATAGACGCCTCTATTGGCCATGTCGCCACAGTGGGCGAAATGTGCGATCACGTACGATTGAATAGACATTTTGCATACTTCTATTATCTATATTACGAAATTATTGGAGATGGAAAATGGTATCAAAGTTTTCAGGGATATTGAGTGAATAGATAAAGCATATTGTTTTTTTTTTTTTTAATAAACTATACTATACGAAATTCTTTTTGCTTACAAGTTTGCCTATTAAATAAATACCAAGAGTCCTGCGCATAAAAATTGTCAGGGTTTTAGTATTTATTGGCTATTTTTCAATTTAAAAATGATTTAAAGTAAGAGAGAATTAAGAGAATTTATTAAAAAAGATTTAATTGTGAGCTAGCATATTTTGGCTTGCACAATTTTAATTATATTTTTTTTAAAATAATTTTCTTATATATTTTTAAGATTATAAAGTGTACAAACGAATTAATTTAAGTAGATTTAATAGTGAGTTACAGTATTTTTTAAGGTTTTCAAGTTGTTTAATACAATTTTCAACTAGTTTGTCATTTTGTTCCATTGTGTGCGCAAGGCTCTACATGTTACGTATACGCCGCGGTTGCCATGTTAATTAGCATTTGCCATTTGCCCAGTTGCACTTAGCTTTACTTAAAGTCCAATAAGTTGCAGCAATTCTTCAAGAGACAGAACAAAAAAAACACACTTTCAATTATGTTGCTTTATTATTCCAATTAATTAACAATTTGTTTGATTTATTTTAAATTTATTGTTGCTTTTTTGTGTGAATGATAAGAAATATAAATATTGCAAATTTGTAAATGGTTTGAGCCGGCAACCAGCTGCTTGCTAATCGGACGATTAGATACCTAAGTGATTTAGAATTATAGTCACGTTTTAAAATTATCACTTTAAGCACAGGGAAACCCTAATTCCGTTCTTTATTCACAAGCCAGGCAGTCATTCGGTCGGGACAAATATTTTATATACAATGAGATAAGTTATCAAATTATCAATTCAGTTCGTCATCGAGAAATATCAGCTTATTTAACTATTTACTTTGCCTACATTTTTGTTATTTATCTTTTGATTATTCTTTTTCTTTTTCTTGTTCTATTTTAGATGGCTCGCAGGATAACTGAAAATCACCTTTGCTCAGTGCAAACGTCCAAACATTGACCCATTTTCTTTGTACAAACTGCGCTATATAGTATTTTAAACATTTTTATTGTGCAACCTAATGGGCGTTTCGTTGCGGAGCCCTTTGACTGAACACGCATGCACACGCATACACTCAGGCTTTCTTTATGGAATAAGTATGTACGGTAAGTGCATCCCACTCAGATGTTATTATTGTTGTTGTTATTCTTTTTACGGCTGCTCAAAAGGTAAACTAGCCAAACAATACAATCAATACTCACACACACACAGATCGGACTAGTGTGTGTGTGTGTGTGTGTTAGCTTAGCGCTTAAATAGAATTCTTAAGTGTGGCACAATCGCGCGCTATTTCTTCAGCCATAACACGCACACACCCATACAACCGCATGGCAGTGGGGGATGGCTTAAATGGCTAATAAAATAGCATATTTAAAGATTTTTAAACATGCTTCGCTTTAAATTGACGCTCGCTGTGCGTGCTCTGTGTCTGTGTTTCTGTGCTGTTTATTCCATGTTTATTGGCTAGCTGATCTTTGTGCTAGTTGGATAGTTGAAATCATGGCCACGTGCACACAGCATACGAGATTATGAATTATAGTTTCCTTGCGCTTAGCTGTCCGTTTGCCTTGTCCAAATTTTATTTATTTTTTCTTGTGCCGGGCAAGTCTCAGGATTTACGAGTTCGCCTAATTGCGTGCGACAATAAATTTTGCAACTGTAGGGATATGCTTAAAATATTTGAAACTCTGCGTTTCTTAATTTCTTTATATATATATATATATTATTTTGCTGGCGCCTTCGTTTTATCTGGCTGCAAAAATGAGTTTTTATTTATGCGACAAATTGCAGAATAAAGTGCAGTCCAATATCGAAACGGATATTGAGCAATGTTCATGGCTGGGAAAAATGATTTAATATTAAAATGAAAACTGTGCGTTCGCTGTGTAGTTTAAGCCTTGCGATGTTGTAAAATATGCAGCGTGCATAGTTTTTTGTTAATATCTATACATTTTGCAATATCCTTTAATTTTTTTTGCATGATTTCAGTGGGTTCATTAGCAGTTCTCGACTGATTTTCGCAATTACAATTTTAATTGATATGCAGCTACGATATTCGCAAAATGTTTGCCATACTAGGCATTATTTTTCAAAAAACCAATCGCAGGTTATTTCATTGATGAGCAGTTATTGCATTTCATTTGTGTACCTCTTGCAATGGATTTTGTGAATTTTAAAGAATGTCTGTAACATTTCGCCAAATTCATTCATAATTAATATGAAAATACGATCCTTGAAATTGAAATTTCGTTCTGCGTAACACACACACATAATTAATATGAAAATACGATCCTTGAAATTGAAATTTCGTTCTGTGCAACACACAGTCCTTCTCCCTACCTTCTATGCCACTGAAAGGGTCTGTGATAAATTATAATTAAATAAAATATCATGACTCCTTTCCGTATGGTTTTAAAATGATAATCTCTTGTGTCCGACTATATAAAATAATTAGTAGTGTGGAGTATTATGTATTGCTTAACAGTTTTATTCTCATATTTTTTAATGTTCTTGTCAAGTAGTTTGTCCTATAGAATACACAGATAAAGCATCTCTTACTTTTTGGATGCCTACGTTTCATTCTTCCAAAATTGAAACGAAAAATATGGGATAAGAATATATTACCGCTGCGATATAAAGGATTAAAAACATGTTTTTAACATACCCTTCTTTGCGATTCTCATAAATTTAAGTACGTCAGGTTTTCATGCTTTGATTTTAGGCTTATCGTCACAGGTTGTCTTAGGAGTCAAATATCCTATATTATTGTTGTTGGTGTTTGTTTCCATCCTTCAATTCCTTCCTTTTTCTCTGCTCCTACTCATATCAATTTTTTCTTATGCTTTTAAAAACGCCCTTCTTCTTCTAATAACTATTATTTTATATACAAATATCTATCCATATATTATGCCCGATCGTAAAGATAGGTAATTGATTTGGTTTGTTGGATGTGCTCGTGCGCATCTTGAGATCAGCTGCTTGAGCTTTTGGGTCTTGTTGGATTATACAAAGTTCCAATTCTTGTCGCAGTTATTTCTGCATTCAACATCTCACGCTCCGCCTCGTCAAGCTGGTCGCTTGAGTGCACCTCGAACTGTCTCTGCAAATTCGCATTTACAAACACAAGCGCAACTGTGGGCCACACCCCTTTTTCTGGGCACCCTGTGTTAGTTTCGCATGTTTGTTACACGTTTAAATGTCAAATACGCAACGCTAAACACAATTCCTAAGCAAATCGCACAAAATGCAGCACATAAAAATGTCAAAGTTGTGCCGCAGCTTTCTGTTTGCCACTCGCCCCCTCGCTGCCGCCCTGCTGCCTGTCCTAGTCAGGCATTGTCTGTGTGAGAAATGTAAATTTTATCTTTGGCAAAGTAACTTTTACAATTTCATTATGTTTCATTTGCATTAAATGCGTGTGCAGCGCGACCGCGTTGCATGCAAATTTCCCACGCCCTGGTTGCCATTGGAGCGCATTGCAATTGGGCGTGTGTGTATGTGTGTGCGAGCGTAAGTGTGTGTGAGTGTGTGTTAGTGTGAGTTCGTCGTTTTGCTGATAACCGCATTGCACTCCTGGCTGCGCAATCTACGACTTGCCGCTGATCCTTTGGCTGCAGGAGCAACTTTTTGATTGCCCCCCGTCTCGGCCACCCTTCGCCTATTGTAATAACAGCAGCGTATTATTATTTTGGCTGCTACTGTTAACAGTTTGTCTTGTTGTTTTCGTTGTGTGTGCTGCAACTGAATGATTTCTCATGCTGCGGCGACCTTGTCGATTTTGATGGCTGCCATTGTGGAGCAAAAGTTTGTCCTTTGTTTGTGCCAGAAGACTTCGGGTCCCAAAAATACATAATACAATTGACATTCGCATTAGAGCTGCTTGTTATTGCGATTTCTTGAAGCGGCAATGCATATTTTCGCCTTTGCTAATGGCAAATTTCTGTACGCGTGCGACGTTCGGGGAGTGCGGCACCTTTTCCTTTCATTTCTCTTTTTCTTACAGATTACGCATACGCAGCGTTGACTTAGAGCCCATTTAAAATTCTCTTTCAAGTGAGCAGAGCACACTAAACATAATTAACATATGCTTTTTGCGCCTTTGCGAGCATTTTAAGGTTCCATATTCCCCTTACCGTTGGCTAATAATTTAATTGGGCCATGCGCAGTGCGTGCGTATGGCGGCAGTTAATGCGACAGTGCCAAAGGCGGCAAAAAACTAAAACAGTTTTTCTTCGTTTGGTTTAATGAGAATCTAGCGCCAGGACCAAAGGCAAGGCCAAAGGAAAGGGTATAAAAGCACAGGACAGTGAAATGTGAAGCCAACGACAAACATAACTTTGAATTGCACGTAGTTATGTTGAGTCCTGTATGCACGCGTATCTGTGTGTGTGTAAATATATTTGTCCTTATTTATCGCGCAAAGCGCATGAATAATAATTAGCCTCAGGCCAAGGGCAAAAATGCTTGGGGTGTAGAGATGGTTGTAGTACCCACGACAACTTGAACTTAATTTGTGCACTCGCTGACTATCTAACCCATTGTAAATTCCGTCTTTCACACCTGTTACACGCAATTATCCGGCCACATGCAAAGAAACTTTTCGGGCGGACTGCAGTCGGAGCCCCATCTTTGACAGCGCTTCATTTCCGCTGCCAGAGTGAAGCTGGCACGGAAGGAAATGAGTCTCGGATTAGGACACCAGTCGCAGGATAGAAACTAAGAGAGTGGGAATAATTTCAGTGAAAGGCGCTGCGGGTGACCAACCGGTGGCGGCTGTCAGAGTGCTGTATAAGTAGTTTGGGGCTAAGTGCTAGCAACATTGGAGCCGTGGAGACGTGCAGTAACTGCCACACGCACTGATTGCCACTGAAATGCATGTGAAATTAACCTCGAGCGCTGTTCGGTTTAATTTGCACTTGACGCTGCCGGCGGAAGAACTTCTGCGCGGGCTTGTAATGCATGCCAATGGAAGTCGATGCAGCTGGAACGGCAACGGCAACGGCAACGGCAACAGCTGCGTCTCAAATGGAATTTTCTTTAGCTTATTTGCTGGCTGGCTGACGGCTGATGGCCTGGACCGTCACGTGGACACGCCACCTGCTTCGGCTGCCGCATACGGAGTTAACTTTGTCTGCATTTCGTTGCGGAAGTTGAAAGCTGTCAAATGTAGCACGAGCGACTTTGGTGCGTAATCGTATTTGATATGCGAATGGGCGGCGCTTTGGTAAGCTTGAAGCACACCCATCCTAAGCACGCTAATGAAAATGTCGCTTAGGCTATTCAGCTTGCTTTTATTATTCTGCAAGAAAATCTGACGTTAATTGTGGTTGTACCACAATAAGTGAAAAGAGCATACGATCTGAACGCCAAAAATATCGAGATATCAGGAACAATATGACGAGAGCTAAGCAATGATAGCGAGTGATCAATCAGGTCGATGACGGTAGGGGTTGCACTATGAGAGTGACCGGAAAGACGGGAGTAAAACGTCGATTCCAAAGGCTCAGAGTAGGGTTCTTCTTGCAAAAAGCAAAGAAAGAGAGCAAATTTTAAGTTAAATGAGAAAGTAAGGATATGTTGTCAAAAGCGATGGCGAGAGCAACATCATAAATCGAATTCAATCGCATTTGGCCTTGAATCTGCTAATGTTACGGCTTCTATGGGCAGTTACATTTTATAATGCCAATGACAATATTTATATGTTTTTAAGGTATTTCAGATTAAGTGACAGATTAATTTGCATAATATATTTATTTTGTAATTCGAAGCCTCTCATAATCAGCTTAACAGCCCAAAACCAATTCAGGTATATTGAGTGCACAGTCGCAACGCATTCCTAACAGGAGCATGATTTATACTTATTAAATTGTTAATGGAATATACTATATTCAATTCAACTCATTATAGAGTGCATGCAGTTGGAAAGTTCGCACCAGTATGAGCTATACCATTCGGTCAAACAATCTGTCCATATGCCGATTGAGCTGCTCGACGCATTAACGAAAATCAACATTTAAATTGCAAATTATGCGCGTAGACAGAAAAAAGTCTGATTGGTAAGCCCCAATGCTGGGCCTGAGCTGGGGACCTGTACTGGATGTTTGGC